CATGATCCGTCGACTGCATGGAAATATGGGTGGTGGCGCACGGAATGTAGCGTCTCGGCGCCATGGCTGTGGTTCCCCACGCTAAAACCTAAACTAGTGGCACATTGACGTCGATTGACCCTCGTGCTGTCTAGCGTTCGAGGCTGCACCTGTTATCTTGACGAGGAATGAAATGGGCATATGAAGCACGAAGTAGTGAAGCCGCCAGAAGTGCGGATGCTGGCTTCCTTATGAGAAAGGAGCATTGAAGCCAGTACGTGGCACACCCTCTCGAAAGGACCCCAGACCCGCTATTGTGGTCTTCGGTACTTCGATAGTGGCAAGATCGGGATCCACCTCGAGGATACTCAATGTCAGTTTTAAAGATCAGATGCAAGAGCGGCCAGAAAAGATTTGACTTCCTTCGAGACAGGAGCACTCCAATAGAGGGAATTGATCCTCGTACTGTCGCTGTCTAGCTCGTAGAAATATATTCTGTAGCTCTCAATCTCGTCAATGCGTACAGTAAGAGACTTGGACATTTGCTCATCCTGCCTCTGTGCCTTTGTGCCTTTGTGCTCCATCGATCTTGAACCACGAATCCGGCGATCCTGTCCGCACCTCTCCCCGGATTTCAAGCTTCCATGTTCCTTCCACATCAATGGGTTTCACCATCCCCAATACCCTCAGCCGTATGCAGCTCTCCGGGAGGTCTCAAAAAACCCGTGATTATCGATCATTTGATCATGAAGCCCATCGACGCTACTACCCGTGTGCATCCACGAACTTCAAATATTGCCTCCAACTTCGCCGACTCGAAGCATGCCAATGCTGCTTCCTCCCGGAGGTAGTTGCCCGACATCAGTCTATCTTCTGTCGTTACAAAATCAGAAACATGTAATTATTTCTCTGCCGACATCCTGAGAGCGCGCCACAACCCACCAAGGTAATATTTTGCCTCATGCCGCCTGAATCTGGTTAGCAGGGTCAAAACGAGCGGGTGATTTGCATAGGATTCGGTCGGCCCACGGACATGATCCACACAACGTCAACCACGACACAGACGACATGACCGGCGGTCTCACATTCATCCTAAGCACAACTTGACAATATGATATTTCTAGGCTGGTGCTTGGCCTGTTTCCCCTCAGCCCCGCACCCGGCAGCCCAGGCCCTCGTGTAAGTGGCACACATTATCTGACCTGTTCTTAGTTCCTTACTCTTCATAGCCCGATACACAGCGGCCCGGCTTAGAGTAGATGCTACACCAGACTTGTGTACTGCGTACCTCTCAGATCGCGGATGACAGAAACAACTGATGGCGCAGCTAAAGTCGAGTCCGACTTCCTCTCGAGTGGCTTGGGCGACTTGTATTCTGCCGTCTCATCGTGTTCGCCTGGCTAATACGACCTCGAAACTGCAATGGCTTGGATGCTACGTCGAACCCGTCCTACCCCAAACGTCTGCCTCGCGCTCACTTCTCACATCCAGCTCCGGTCATTCACAGTCTGCAGCCAACCCCATCTTCCCACCCCGGAATCCGAGCCAGCCTTTATACCACCCCCATTTTCGGGGTCCCCGCCCAAACCCGACCCAAGCTCGGTGGAGAGAGGACACAGACGTTTTTCCTTCCTTTGATTTTTTTTTTTTTATTCTTTTTATTATTATTATGTTTGCCCTTTGGCGTACTGCATGCAATTCACCTCATCCCACTTGACATCAGGTAAAAGATGGCACAGCGTGGGGGAATGTTGTGACAAACACATCGCCTAATTCCTCCCTGAACCCTGGCCGACAAACGCCTGTCCCCAGAAATCCATCCCAAATACCTGTCCTCCAAGTTTCCCACATGCATTGATGTTGGTCCCGTCCCGACCTTGCCTACATACCTCTACAGCCGGCATCTACAAGTGTGTATTGCACAGCAAATTGAAGAGAAAAGAGACCCCCCTCCCTACCCTTCACACCACCACGACCATGTGGCCAGTCCAATTTCTTGTAAGCCACAAAGAAAAAAAAAAAAAAAAAAAAAAAAAAGCTCTGGTATCCATCCCGGCACATATGGAACTTTCTGGCTTTGGTTCTGCCGGGTTATTTGCCCGTCGCTAGTTACCTCATTCTCCCTTTTTGCCCATTTACACCCGCGGCTCGTACTTGTATCCCCCATCCCCACCTAGATGGAGGCCAAGTACTTGATGAACCCCAAGGGCTGATGAACCAAGGTCTATTCTTCATCACATTACTGATGTAGGAAGAAGGGATGTCCCAGATTCAAATCGCCATGCTGCCATGAAAGCTGCCAGCCCTGCGGCTCCACCCTTCCCTTTTCCTAATTCTACTCCCCAAGACGAGAACTCTCAACCTTCTCCCTTGTTTCTCTAAGGAGGAAGATGTCTAACTGCTTTCTCACTCCCTACTTCTGGCCCAGGCGAAACTCGACGGAACAGGCACTCCGTAGCATCTCGGTGGTCCACAACTAATGGATCACCACCGCCACCTTCCTAACATGCCCTTCCCCTTACTTGTGGGTGCGTGATTTCTTCGCTCCGGCTGTACTATATATTAGCCCGTTATATGACAAGAAATCCAATTACAGCCTGCCGCAGGTGCCGTCATGACATGCCAGCAGGAAGGTTGATCCTGGTCAAGCACACACCCTACCATCCACGTCGCTTCTAAATGTAGCGACTGGCTCGCGGTACGGCTACTTGTCTTAGCTCTGAGACTACCGTAAGTTGACGACGTACATGTCTTTCGCTTATATTCGAACCGACCCCAAAACTGGTTGGCTCTCGAGCTAGCTGCTCTTGCAACGGATCCAAGCTTCTTCCCCATGCCTCTTCCGCGCCCTTGCACTCGGTCCCGTTTCCGATGGCAGAAAGCTTCCAGGCCCCGGAGTATATATTGCTCGAGTGCTCCCGCCGCCTAGCTCATGCTCTTCACCTCCCAACTCTTCTGAGTTTTACGATCTACTCTGGGCCCCCATAAACAGATCATTGGTATTGTTTAAACATAGCAAAGTGTTACCTATTTGCTCGTAACGTTTCTTTCGGACGTGATTATCTTGCTGTCGTATGACATTTGCCTGCCATCGAACAGTTGTAAGCTAGTTTTCTGTTTTCTTTTGTCTCTCCTCTACCTATCCTCCGTCCAAGGCGAACATTGCGTCTGTTATCCGTATCTTTTTACCTTTAGGCTCATTCTCTCTCCCTCCAACAGTCCCCCACCGGAACTGAAGCAAGCATACCTATGACGATGACTGCTGGCAATGGTTCCTCCTCCAATGGCCACACAACGGCCCGTCGCCCGCTTCCGTGCGGCATCTACGCACCTACCATGACCTTCTTTGACCCAGAGACCGAAGAGGTTGATATCCCCACAGTCAAGAGGCACGCTGTTCGCCTTGTAACCGACGGCTTAGCTGGCCTGGTTACCATGGGATCCAACGGAGAGGCCATACACTGCACACGCGAGGAGAAGGTTTTAGTCACGAAGGCCACGCGCGAGGCTCTCGATGAGGCCGGATTCGAGTCGACGCCCATCATCGTAGGCGCCACAGAGGGAAGCGTCAAGGGCACCATTGAGCTCTGCAAGGTGACGCATGCCGCCGGCGCCGACTACTGCCTCCTGCTCCCACCCAGCTACTTCCGCGCCCTGATGGACGAGACGGCGGTCTACGACTACTTCACGGGCGTCGCCGACGAGAGCCCGCTGCCGCTTATCCTCTATAACTACCCCGGCGCAGTGGCAGGCATCGACATGGACAGCGACCTCCTCATCAAGCTCGCAAAGCACCCCAACATCATCGGTACCAAGTTTACCTGCGGCAACACGGGCAAGCTATCCCGTGTGGCTCTTGCGACCGATGCCAAAACGCCGACGTCCGAAGGCTCCGGTTACATGGCCTTCGGTGGCATGTGCGACTTCACCGTCCAGACACTCGTGAGCGGCGGAAGCGGCATCATCGCCGGCGGCGCCAACGTCATGCCCAAAGTGTGCGTTCGCGTTTGGAATCTCTATGTTGAGGGTAAGACAGACGAGGCCATTGCGCTCCAAAAGATCCTCAGTCGCGGAGACTACGTCCTCACCAAGTCGGCCATTGCGGGGACCAAGCAGGCCATCCAGAGCTATTTTGGGTACGGCGGGTTTCCGCGTCGGCCGCTTAAGAGGCTTGAGGCTGCGCGGGTGGCTGCTATTGAGGAGGGTGTGAAGGAGGTTTTGGCTATCGAGAAGTCGTTATAACGCCTGAAAATTAAGGAGGTGTTTTGAGTAGAAAGGATTTTTAACTCCGTCGGCTGGGGGTATAAGTTGGAGAAGTATCAGAAGATGTGGAGGAAGATGGTGTCTTCGCTCTCTTACACACACCCACCCACACTCGCTCCTTTTAGCCAGATTTTGGCTCCTTCATAAATGCTCAAGGTGCTTCTTCAGGTTCTTTCTTGCACAACTTTTTATGCATTTTTCCATCTTCTCGATTTATTTCTTTTCTTCTCGGTGGTATTTTGTTATTTTCTAAAGCATTGTTTTGTTTCTCAGACTTGCTCGCAGAAGGATCCTCCTTGGGGGTGGACTCAAAATCGCTCATTATGCCCTTTGTTTTGGTAAATTTCGAAAACGGGGAGCTACCAGATTGTCGTCGATCCATCAAGTGTTCTTCTCTTTTCTTTTTTCTTTTCCGTCTGTCATTCGATTCCTGGAAGGGCTAGATATGAACCAAATGCACATTATAGTTTAGATGATGATGGTCGAGGAGAAACACGTCTTTAAGGTATGTATATCTGGATTTAACGCTTTTCGGGGCCTCGATGTGTCACTTCATTGTGCTATTGTAAGTACGACGTACATGCAAGGTGGAAAATAACTCCTCACCCGACCAGGGGGGCGGAATTTGGTCGTAGGTGGTAGGTGGTAGATGGTACGAGAAATCAATTTTACACTCTATATATCATCATCATTATTATCGAGACGTAACTCATTACAAAGTCTCACTCACCACACTCCCCCAAGAAAAACCCCCTCAATCAAACCTTAAACGTCCTCGGATCCAACTTCACAACATCAGCACTCCTCACCCTCCCCTCCAGAATCCACTCGGCCATCAAGCACCCCGTCGCGGGACCGTTCTGTATCCCCCAACACGTATGGCCCGCGGCGACCCATAACCCCTTCATGGAGGTAGGACCGACGAGGGGACCCCGCTCGTCTCCGAAGCGCATGTGACGGGGGATGTAGCAGGCCTGTCGGGCCTTGATGGGGGCGGCGCGGAGGGCGGGGCTGATTGTCGAGAGGTATGAGATGAGGTCATCGCATTGGGATGGGTCCGTTTGGACGAGGTCGGCAGTTTCGGGGAGGGGGATGGTGGTGTCGGGCTCGCCTGGAACAGGACACGCTGTGGTATTAGTTAATGGGGCCTTGAACGGGAGGAAGAGGGGAGCGGGAAGAGAGAGATTCGATTTACCGCATGCGTAGACTTCGTTGTTGGGTCGTGCATAGACTTCGGGGTCTACGCTGCCCTTGTGTCTTCGCTTTTGACCCTTCCTTGCTCTGTGGGGTGGTACGTAGTCGGAGGGCAGCACAATGTCGGTGAAGACGGCGTAGGGCGTGACATCTGCTTCGAAGACGACGCTATGGGCGCGTAGGCCCTCAACTCTCGTCTTCGGTAGGAGCTTCCCCGTCCACGGTCCCGCGCAAACCACGACGTCTGTGAAGTCCTCAATCGTATGTGTCTCGCCCGTTTTCCTATCGATATACTCTATCCTCTCGACAGCCGTCTTGGTGGTCTTGATCAGCGTGACCAAGGCCCCAGTCCGGATTTCCACTCCTTTCTCGGCAGCCAATTCGGCCATCGCCGTTGTAAACTCCAACGGATGCACCTGCGCCGTGTCCGTCGTCCCCGGCCCGCCCATCTCGGCATAGCCCTCCAAGGTTTCGGGGTCAACCCAGTTCAAATCCGGTGGAACGCCCGCTTCCTCCAACAACCGCGCCGCATGCTCATCCTGCTTCGGTAGCTTTTGCCAATCCTTCTCGTCTCCTGTCCCGGCCCCAATTGCGGTCGCTTCCGTCGAGACACTTCCGCGAGGACTCTTATCTGTGAAGCTAGCGATCTTCTCGGACGACACGGTCGCGGATATGGAACCACACTTGAGGCGGCGGTAACCCCATCTGCGAGGGCCGTCGTAGCGGGCGGCGAGCTCGGCGTGGAGACGGAAGGAGAGGGGCACGAGGGAGTCCGGATAGGCCCATAGAGCGAGGAGGCCACCGGCTTTTCCCGAAGCGGCGGAGGCGATGTCGGTAGCTTCGAGGAGGGTGATGCGGTGGGTTGTCGGGGAGTAGAGGGGATGGTGGGAGAGGAAGTAGGCGGTTGTGCAGCCGATGATGCCACCTCCTGGGCGAGTGGATTGTTTTCGGATTAATATCCGGTAGAGAGACTGGGATTTCAGGGTGGAATTCGGGTTCTGGGTGTACCTATTATGATGATGTTACGCTTCTCTTGGGCGGTCATTGCTTCGGCTGGGGAGAGCTGACGATGTCGCGAAGAATTGCGGGGTCGAGGACCTTGGTTGGAAGCTGGCAATCAAAATCGAACTTGTCGCTAGAGAGCAAGCCAAGCAAACAATTGACATACGGATGGGGCTGAACTACGGCGGTTGAGCAAGATGAAAGGTCGCAAACGAAGCCATCCGTGACAATCAATTGTCAATTGTCAATTGTCCAAACCATCCAGGATTGAACGACAATGTTCCTTCTTGGCCAAGCTTCGAGTGCGTCTGTGTACGGGGTACCTGTGCTTAGCTACGCAAGGGGAAATGACAATCAAGAGGGGTAATAGTACATCCATGTGTCGTGGAAGCCTCCAAGTAGCAAAGTACCTCTATACACTTTGCTCGTTGGACATGGTACCAATTCCTAGAATCCCAAAACATCAAACCTACGGAGTACACCGTTTTGTACAAGTCTGCAGATAGTAATGGGAAAGAGCGACTCGCACCGGGTCAAAAGCAACGTTTGGCTCGTACTGAGCGCCTCAATGAGGAAAGAGCGGTGCGTGGTGACTTGGATGGACTGGACCTGCTTCAGTTGTTTGCGTGATGGGATGACGTCGCCATCTATGATCCCAAGTCCCAATGACGCATTGAAAAGTACCTTGGTACAAGTGCAGCTTACAGGTTGATGTACCGAGGCGTAATTGACAATTTGTCACTGGCTGCGACAAGCTGCATTGTGCAATGTGCAACAAGCATCGGCGTGGTTGAGTAACAAGAAACTGTTTCGGCCCTGTTCCTGAACGGACCACAGGTCAGCCAGGATCACGCAGATCCTCACCAGCTGAGGCCATCGACAAAATTTGGGCAAGGAGACATCAAGCACGACTTAGAGTCCGACTGTCTTCCCCGTCGACCGAGGAAACAAAAACCACTTCGAACGGTATTTGTCACGGCAGCTCTCCACCTCGGGAGAATCTCCCCAGAAGGGCTTCCTAGCTCCGCGTGTTATCTCCTTGATCCAGCCCTCGGACGAATTCGTCATTTCTTTTGGACTGACTCGGACCCCGCAGTGCTTCCAAATCGAATCGGGGGAACCCAGCAGTCCGAAGGAAAGAGAAGTTGGAGGGGGACATTTGAGTATCAAGTGTCAAGTGGTCAAGCTCTCCGCGTCGGATGCTCGCTGTGCCGAGCTTCTGAAGCTCTGTCCCACCTTAATGGTTGTATCCGGCGTGCTCGATCAATTAGCTTCATCAATCGCTTAAAACGGGCGGGGATCCCTCCTCGTCTCGCCTCATGCCATCCCGACAAATGCTCTTGCGACGTCAGCACCGACAGCTTTTCCCCCTCACCAGACTTCAACCTACTACTCCAACTTGGCCCAGCCGTATACCCCCTCTTCTATCAAACCACCCGCTTTATCGACACCACTCTTGTTCACCTCAGATCAGAAATTGCCCCGCGATCAAGAAGCGACGCATTCCGACGTCTAGCGCTTCGCCATCTGCTCCGTTTCGACTAGTAACAAGATCTCCAAGCCACCCGCTTAGCACCATGGCTTCCGCGACGGCTTTCTACGACTTTAAACCCTTGGACAGTTAGTCCTCCTTTCCTCCCTGTATCCTTGACTGCACTACGCAACGTTGCCCCTCTCTTTCCACCCCTGCACCCCGTTTTGTACGAAGTATGACGGCGGTAGTGGCGCATTTCTGTGCACTGCAATGCCCGATTGCAGAAGAAGACAACAAAAAAGCAAATAAAAATGCAGACAAATTAAAACAATTAAGTTAGCAGCTAACTAACCAATTACGTAGAACGCGGCCAAGAAGTCCCTCTCGCCGACTACAAAGGCAAAGTCGTCCTCGTCGTCAACACCGCCTCCAAATGCGGCTTCACACCCCAGTACGCCGGACTCGAAAAAGTCTGGAACGAGATCAAGCAAAAGAACCCCGACGACTTCGTCATCCTCGGCTTCCCCTGCAACCAGTTCGGCGGCCAGGAGCCCGGAACCGACGACGAGATCCAAAGCTTCTGCCAGGTCAACTACGGCGTGACCTTTCCCATCATGAAGAAGATCGACGTCAACGGTGACCACGCCGACCCCCTGTACAAGTGGCTCACGAACGAGAAGCCCGGGCTCATGGGCATCAAGAGGGTCAAGTGGAACTTTGAGAAGTTCCTTATTGGGAGGGACGGGACGATTAAGGGACGGTGGGCGTCGACGACGAAGCCTGAGTCGTTGGAGCAGCCGATTCTTGATGCGCTTGCGGAGAAGGCGTGAGGGTACGGGAGGGAGGACGCCGGGGGTGCAGGGAGTGGTGCCAGATTGTGATAGTAATGCGAGTGTATGAGAATATGTTTACTTTTCTCCCCTGTAGAAGAATTGACAGAGTTCCTCCCGACGAGGCAGATGAAATTTCAGAAGAGAGGGTTTGAACTTGAGAGGACGGAGATAGCATCGGGCCTCCCCCGTCCGTTCTCTCCCCGACCAGTGTTGGGTCGCCTGCGGTGAAACTTACCACCTTGGCAGGTTCATGTCCACGTCACCCAGACCTTTATCGGCTCTGCCTAGTCTTCGATCACGACCTCTGAATGCCGTCGGAGAGCAGTTCCATCTACCCACTCTGGTCCCGAGCAGGAGGAGTGAATCTCAGCGAGAGTGAGATTAGAAGATCCCACTCCGCTTCGATCCTATCAGCACCGCACTTTCACACGGCATCGCGCTCGATGAAGCCCAGACCAGAACAGCCTCGGACATCATCACAGCGACGACCTTCCCACGCTCCGGTCGCAATCCCCGTCGCTGACATGCGTGTAGACCTCTTCACAATCTCACCCTCATCTCCAAAGATCCTTAAGCGTAAGCTTACACATTGTACCTTATATGGACTCCCCTTGGTCTGCAACATTCGATTCAAATCGTCCTTCTAGTCCCCGTGACGTTCCCTCCCGTTTTTCGCGCTCCCGTGTCCGATCCGCGCCGGCCGCCTCCAATTCTCCGGGCCTCGTCCAAGCTCCGTCGACTGGGCACAATATTCTGTATATCCCAAACACCATTCTTCCTTTGCTATTCTTTCTCGCCCCCCCAATCTCCACGAGATCATCTCGGTTTAGCTCGTTCATAGAGAATGCACACTCGATAATTTACACGCTCGGCACATGAGCGGGTTCTTTCTACGCCTCGGTACTTGTGCAGCTCGCTTCGGCAGATGACCATTTTCTGTCAAGTTGAGCGCACAAAGCCACAAAGCCATCGTCCACTTTTGATTGAATACCCTCCTCTCTCAACCCTGTACATTCTCCGATATTCCCACACATGTATGTAACTTCTGTATGGAGATCTTGAGAGCTAGGTGGGAGGACATGGCGAGTCACACGAGGAGCTTGAAGTGGATGCATATGTCCGAGCTCGCTTATCCTGCGGACATGCGGATCACGAGAAGCGTTGTTTGTAAGATTAGGAGGAGGGCGTGTGTTATGTTTCCCCCTTTTTCTCTCTCTCTCTCTCTTTGTCGTTATTCTGCACCGCCATCACGATGGATCGATACACCTTCTCTATCTTCCACAACCTCCTCTCCTTCTAGCACGCAAGATCATCAGATCGTAGTGTCAAAGCACCTTGCGAGATTACGTCGTTCTCTTTCGCATGCATTTCGCGGACCATTCTTTCCCTTTCATCGATTACCCAAAACCAGTAATTGAGCAGGAGGGTGGGCGCCCCATATCCCAGTCCGAGAGCATATTCCTCATGAGCCAAATCGCCATAGACGAAAGAAACAGCGTGCTCACCAAAGGAAAAATGAGGAAAGAAAATATGTTTGAGCTGGTGTGGCGCTTCATATAAAACAATATCGCTTCTGCAGTGTAAGCGCCCCCCCTCTCCGCTTCCATCAACCATCAACTCTCTTATCCTGGGCCCCCCACTGAACTGAAAATAGGATCAGACCTGCTGGGTTCGGTTAGTAAAGAAAATGGAACGAGGCTTGTGTGGCTTTGGGGCAGTCTCCCTCTCTTTTGACTTGACTTTTTGGGCGATGGCGAGCTGGTTCGTGATTTCAACGTCGAGGCAGGGTTTTCGATATGATGCCATCATGAGACGCGCTGACGAGGCTGTCTGTCCTGCCTTTGCCTTCCTCTCGCAGGTCATGAGGGTCAGATTGAAGGGAGAAAAGATATGTTCAAGTTCTAGAACTTTCATCTGCATCGGGGCTGTGAAGTATGGTATCTCTACATGCTCGCCGACCTAAACTCTTTGAAACCGGGTTACGATAAGTCGGACGCTATATTGCCCACCCTCGCTCAGATATCTCGATGCAGATGATGTGGAGAGTATAATCTCTCTAATCCCACGCCTACCTAGGTCTGGTGACTATTCATAGCACATTTCTGCATCGGATATTGAATCCTCTGCATCATGTAGACAAACGCGTCGTGGCCCCCATGGTCCATGGTTATCACCATCGCGCTGGGAAAGTGACAGCGAAGTTGTGTGGATTTCCATCCTCTCTGACGAAGAGCCACCGCGTCCGGGACGGTCGGCGGCCATCCAATCTAAGCAGTTGGACGTCTGTTCTGTATTGCCTTGCACAGATTCAAGATAGCAAAGCTCTCGGATCCGTTGGCCAAGACGGCTAACGCGGCCAGGCTCCGATAATGGTGAACAGTGGACGGTCAATGGCAAGATGAATACTATCATCGCCAGTTTCCACTCTGGGGTTCTTCCACAATCTCTCTAGAGGGGACACTCTCCCCCTCCAGCCGGCTAGGATAAGCTCCGGTGGAATAACCCGAATATGCATAGCTAGGCAGCGAGAGACGTCTGAACAATGAACCTTAGGTAACCAGCCTTTGAGGCACAGCCTCATCGACGAACCAACAAACTCACCATAAGTCATAAGAATGATGACGGTGTCTTGACTCGTAGCCACGCCGTGGAAACAGAATTTTCCAGTAGAAGAGAAGCCCCTGCACGTCCCATGACCATATAGATTCCTCCTCTCGCGTCAGGATAATCCAAGAAATCCCCATTCCCATATAGCCTCGCTCGCCAATGCGCCCAGGGATCCAGCGAGGGAGATGCAAACACCACCGCTTGAACTCTTGCACAACAGCAGCCAACCTCCGGACGCGGAGCACGCTCAGGGCCCAAGCCACGAAAGGCGCAGCAAATCCATCGCGTTGAATAAATTGAGGCACAGACTGCTGACCCAAAGGACCCAAAGGCTCTAAGATGTCCGAGAACTCGGACTGTATTCCTCGAAGACCGTCATGCCCTGGTGAAGCAATATCGACCTCCGAAAGGGGGTATCATACGCCATTCCCAACAGGACAAGCCGTGACGAAGATACGTAGAGGGGGTGGAAAGAGAGTATACTACATATCCAGGTCACGCCATCGCGCTCGTATGCTGGAACGTACGGAGTACGCTTCACAGGCTCACACCCAAGAACCAACAGCTGCCGAGTCCCGGCTCCTAGGATCTTCACCGTGCAACCCAAAGAGGTGCCACCTTCCGAGCCGTCTCCGAATCCCACGGAACCAAAGAAGGGGGACCTCAGAGCCTCTCTGTTCCTCTCCCTGAACCAACAAAGTTGAAAAAAGAGACCCGCTATCTCATTTCAACCCCATCCTTAACTTTCCGCGCGGAAATAGGGGAGGGGGGTGCCAGAAACTCCCAGCATCTTAGACTTCTCCGGAGACCAGTCTCCCACCCCGCAAAGGCCCCTCCTAGCCCTCCTAGCGCCGCCCCAGAAACGCTCGGCGGATTTCCCTTGTCTATGGGTCAGGTAGCAATCATCGTCTCACAGGTAGAGAATCAAATGCCAGAGTTGTACTTCTCCGTTGAAATTAGTCTCCAGTTCCCCCTTCTTTCTCCTGGGCTGTGAGCTAGTTCCGTTAGTACTGCTACTTTGTACCTTTTTTTTTTTTTTCCATTTTTCTTCTTTCTTTTTATGAGTATTAATTTTTTCCTTTTCTTTTTCTTTTGCCCCACGGCACTACCGATTAGACGGCGTGCCTGTGCAAGTTCAAAGGAGGGGTATGGGCGGAAGAATTGGCGGAAGCACGATCTCGGTGTAATAAGCTCACAATGGGACTTGCCGGCATATGCGCTAAGACGCCGGATTCCACTTGGACTCGGCACGATGTCCGTGTTGCGTGTGTGGTTACGTGTGTGGCCTCGAGGTTTACTCGGGTTCACTCTTATTACCACGGACCCAATAGGACGAAGGAGCATAAACTCAACGTTTAGGGGTCTTAGCTGGTGCGTATGCTATGCGTCCTCGTAGATCAATGATTATCGAAGTGGCGTCTTGCATCTGCCTGGCTACCATGTCCAGGCAAAGAGGAGGTACGGAGAATTCTACTTCGCAGGAAGTAAGTCTAGGGTAGAGGCTACAGCTACTCAACATGACCTATACTTGCGCTTGTCTACGACTGTGACAAGGCAGAATACCGCCGAACGGCCGCCTTTCGGTCTTCTGCATCTTGATTCCCCCAATCTTTTGAAGATGATGTGATGGGCGTGTGCGGGCAGACCGAGTGAGCATCATCATTGATCGAGGAACCAGGAGCAAACGGCAAAGGCATCGATGCCAAGCCACTGATCCATGAGTGATGATTGATTACCTAAGGCCCAAGGCGGGGAGCCTCGATGCCCTCTTAAAACACTGGCGTGTCTGGATGGTTGCATCGATGTCAATGATTTCTTGGTTCGGCGAGAATGACACCGCCGTCGGATAGTTTGACTCTGCAACAGCGCGCCATTGGCTCCGGGGTCAGGGGACAGCCGAGGCAAGGGTATCCATTGCTGGACGAGTTGCCATTGATGGCGACGAAGCACCGATGTGGATCGAGAGAAAGGCGACGCCTGCCATTGAATTGGGATGGGAGGGGAGATTATTGACGAGAATCAAACGACGATGCAGTCAACAGTACCTTTAGCCAGCTCCTCAATTAACTCTTGTGCGGGGCTAGGCTAGCGTAGCCTACACTACACTATGCTAGGGAGTAGCCAGGTGAGCCTGGAGAGGGGAGCTGGTGGGAAGCCCAGAGTTTTGCAATTGGCAGGTCATTTGGCGATTGCGACCTGGAGATGCTGGGGATGCTGGAGACGTTGAGTTTAGAGAAGCGGGAAATGCGATGGGATGGGAATAGCGTCAAGTGGATGGGGACTTAGCGTCATGAGAGAGAGAGGCATCAATCAGATTGATGCTGGTTCGATCAATTCGATCGATGGAGCTAGCCCTGGGCGAGCGCCACTGGGAGATAAAATTAGCGCCT